CGTCACATCGAAGACCCGGGTTCGATTCCGACATGGGTTCAATGTGTGAAGTCCATTTCTTGTGTCCCCCGCCGTGATATAAGTGGAATATTGCTAAATCTATCAGTCACTCACTCAGCAATCACCATGTGATACATGTATAACCGAAATACTGTTTAACCGAATTCACTCACTAACTCAATCAAGACAGTTAGGGGTGTGTGTGTGTGTGTGTGTGTGTGTGTGTGTGTGTGTGTGTGTGTGTGTGTGTGTGCAACTGTACCCCTACGCCCTCAACAAGTTACGGGGTACGATTGTCAAATTATTTTCAAATTAGCGTTGACCCCATTCACTTCCTCGTGATTTCAAATGTTCATTCCGCTCACAATATGTACTCAAGATTAACAATCCATTGTTCGTTTATTTATAAATACAAACAGGATAAAACGACAAACGTTACTGCCAATCATTTGGAGATATATAAACATGCCCTGTTTCATTAGACCAGGACGTCCTGTGAGTCCAACACAGCAGCCAGCCAGGACGTGGAGTAACAGACAGCATCCGCCGCTGATGGCTCGCGCCCATTGTGTCTCGTTGCAACACCAAGTGGTATCACCGCTTGAGAATATTTTTAAACATTAAAGACACGACAATTTTAATTCACGACTATCCGGTTACATATCAGCGACGTAAATCTAACGGCCGACGGTCCTTTGCTAACGAATGACTGATCTGCAATCACGTGAAATGTATGTCCCTGGTGTGAAACTAGACTAAAATCTAGTCTCTGAAATGAACATATCGTACATAAAAAAAACAGTTGTTCAGTTATCTTAATAAAAATATAATAAAAAGGAGCCCAGTGACTCTCTTCATTTTCAGATACTGCAGTGATCTAGACTTGCCAAACATTATAGACTTGCATGGGCTGTATTTGATATATATTTGTATCAGGGTCTGTAAGACAGACTATGGTGAAACGTGCTGGTGATGCTATGTACACGGTATTTGATGATGCTTAAAAAAAACCTTAATGCGATAGTTAATTCTTTTTTCAAAGGCAGTATTTGTTTTGGCATTATTCCATGATGTGCATCCAATGGTCCAGAGTTTATTACACAGTCATAGTTATACGAACACGTGAAATATTATTTTGGGCTTTATTCTGTTAATACTTTATTGTTTGACGAGTGAGTGAGTTGGTTTAACGCCGATTTGAACGTCATTTGAGTTATCTAACGTCTTGCCAGCGTCATGTGGGGGAAACGCCCGAAGTAATCCAGTTGAAAGATCATTATCCAATTTTGAACACACAATGTCATTTAGAAAGTGGTCAAATGTAACAAATGTTATATTTGGGATAATACTTTCTTAGTTAAGTACAGATTCTGGTACTTGTTTTGGTTGAGTCCCGTCCGGGATTCGAACCCACACTGCCAGAGTGAGGCACCTAATCGCCGGCACACAGAGTCAGCCATCTAACCCACTCGGACTCAACCCCCAAAAGTACTAAAATCCCAAATATAATTTTTTTTACATGATCAAAGTGGTGAAATCAGGGAGCACAGGCACGGTGCTGACAAATCTAGAATCAACAACAGGGGGTCCAGGCCTCTAACCTCTGATACAATATCAGGTTTCTGGACCCCAGGGGCGGTCGGGTAGCCTAGTGGTTAACGCGTTCGCTCGTCACGCCAAAGACCCGGGTTCGATCCCCGACACGGGTACAATGTGTGAATCCCATTTCTGGTGTCCCCCCCCGTGATATTGCTGGAATATTGCTTAAAGCGGCGTAAAACCATACTTACTCACTCACTCACTCACTCACTCACTCACTGGACCCCAAAATATTAAGGACCGCAACTCTGAAAGATAAGTATGGCGCCTTTGACGATTGGGCCACCATCGCCCCTGCCTTTCCAGAACAAAACACAAATAACGAATAATTATATGTATTTGTTGTTAAGGTCGAATAAATATATTCATACAACATCCTTATTATAACGTGATATATATGAGACTAGCCCATTCTTATCTTATGCGATCAGTGGTGCGCTCAAGCATATAGTTGGTGATTTTCATGTGCCAGTATCGGGAGGACATCGCACGCTCTGGTGCCTGTCTCTAGTATTGGTCTAGACGTAGTAATTAGTAAGGCCTTGTGTGAAATTGCAACATTTTCTCGGTGCTATCAGGGAAATATTCAACTGTTGTTGTCCTTCATAAACTATCAAAGCTTTCAACTACAAAGTAGTCCTTTAGAAGGCTTGAAATCAAACTTGCGAGGACTGCTAATTAGCATGAATCTAGTCTCCCTGTGTATCATGTAAAATAGATTATTCACATGAATGTTATCACACTTAATACATACCTAGGTGGTTAAATGAAAGAATAAAACTGTACCTGTGTACATGTCATTCCAGTGTACTGTCTTGAGGGCGGTGTCGCCGTCTTGTACATATCCGCCGTCTTCAGTCGTCTAAGGCACGGTAGGTCTCCATACAGAGTTGCTTTCTTTTGGCTTGACAGAAAGCTTCTGTCGTATGTTCAAATGTCCTGATTATGTTTTTCGGTTTGTCAGCCGTCCACGTTGGTTTCACGTCAAGGCTCCGCTGCCACACCAAGCTGACCCAGGGCTATCAGACTGCGGCATTAAGCCAAACTCACTCTCTCAAAGACACCAAGGCGTAGCCCCGCCTTCTACAGAAGCGGTGGTGAAATGGGGTTAAACGTCGCGTCCAAGATTATTGCACTTATATAGCGACATGTGTGTGTGTGTGTGTGTGTGTGTGTGTGTGTGTGTGTGTGTGGCTGCTTGTACTAGCCCACTGAGATACCACGCCGCAGTTTAACGTTAAAACCCCACCCAGACACAGTAAACTGGGTCCGAGCCAACCAGTCCCTATTTAAGCCCCTTAAAGCCTAGCGCCAGACAGGGTAACAACAAGTACCATCTTTTACTTCCTTCGGTACAACGCAGCCGGGGACTAGACCCCGAACCTTCCGCTCTCCTGGCTGACGCTCTACCACTAGACCACGGAAACGGTTCTACTGAAGCCTTTCAAAGTGTCTGGTACCTTTTCTGTTTTTGTCAATGGCATTATTGAAATACAGCCGGTTGTCTCTCTAAATGTCTCTCATGTTCGCCTTTCAATGATAAAATGCCTTATTATCTTAACGGGATAACGGGTGGTGCTATATTCTTTACAGAAATCTAACTGAAACATAACTCATGTTTTCTGTATCAATGTTATTCCCTTTACAGTTTAATGTCCATTTGTATTTTATATTATTGGTCGTGTTTTTATTAATATGGCGTGATGCGTCCTTTTATTTCTTTTCAAGGAAAAGAACAAATTGATCCAATTGGAAAATTTGTGTTTCTTCTTTATCGTCAGGGGGCACGGGTGGCCCAGTCGTCTAAGGCGCCGCGATTCGGTGTGCAGGGTTGCGTCCCTTGGGCACGCCAGAAACCTATGATTGTTCCGTATGTGTATCACTTATGTTTCTAGGTTTGTCAGCACCATACCCGTGCTCGTGGGTTTGACCGAAGTGGTTAACGTCTGAGACCTGCATCACCTCGGGCTTTCCTCCCACATTAAGCTTACATGCCGCGATATAAATGTAATACCTTTAAAAGCGGCGTTAAACCCAACTCGCTCACTCACTCTTTATCGACATCGCTATCACCGGACATGACCAAGTGTTTTCAGCTGAGTGTGTGTCCTACTCCGCTCAAGTTGTCATTGTATCTTCCCAGAAAAGCATGATGTGAATGTTTTCGAAGTACACTGAAACACTTTATTATTAAGGATGATCATTTTGCCAAAATACTTTTCAACTATTAAGGAAGAGAATTTATGTATGTCAACTTCTTTATTATGAGGAACACAACCTATCAGAGTATATACTTACTCCTTCATCAGGTGCATTCACCTGATGAAGGAGTAAGCATATACTCCGAAAGGTTGTGTTCCTCGTAATAAAGAAGTTCACATCCATAAATTCTCTTCCTTATGTGTATCACTTCTAAATGCCTTTCAAAGACTTATTCAACTATTATCACGTATTTTGTGAAAACTATAAAACAAATAGAAATATAAGATATATATATTAGGCATGACACTATACTTAAGTGAAATTAAGTGAAGTGAGCGAAATGAAACAAAACACCGGAACTTCTAGCAGTCTAGCTGTCAAGCACTTCTAGCACACAGAGAAAATGCATAATAAAGAGCACGTTTGGATCTTCCTGTTCACAAACATGTTCATGTTACATGGAAACCTGCTAAGGCTCACATTTTCATTCATGTACAATTCAAGATGTTCATGTTCATGTCTCGTTTCATTCATGTCAAGAGACCCGTGTCTCCAGCAACCCATGCTTGCCGTAAAAGGTGACTATGCTTGTCGTAAAAGGCGACTAACGGGATCGGGTGGTCAGGCTCGCTGACTTGGATGATGCATGTCATTGATCCCAATTACGTGGATCGATGCTCATAATATCAATCACTTGATTGTCTGGTCCAGACTCGATTATTTACAGACCGCCGTCATATAGCTGGAATATTGCTGAGTGCCACGTTAAACAACAAACAAACAAAATCATGTTAAGACTTGATAAATTAGTTTTTAATTAGAACAAATACTTTTCTTGTGATGCAATTTAGGACAAATCGGTTGACTAGTTTAATACAGTAAACTACGGTTATAACGAACGCGCTTATAACTTACGAACTGACGGATATAACTTTTTTGGTCCTGGCTACTTGCTGTAGTTATTCTGTATATGTGCTTATAACGAACAACGGTTAAAACGAACTAAAATCAGTAGACCCTTTGAGTTCGTTATAACCGTAGAAACTACGGTACTTTTGTAATTTACTATTGCATTTTACCATGGCGCAACTGTTAGTACACAGACAGTCTATGCACTTATTATGTGTGTTATGTTACACAGCTTTAACTCTACAGAGAAGGATTACAATGTACATGCATCCTCCTTGTCTGACAGAGTACTTCCTTGTGTGTTGGTGGGAAACATGGCGACGGCAGTGGCTCCATGCGTCTGTTATCTTCTGTTGGCATATTTCTTCCACATACGCCTTTACCAGCACGGTAAGAGAGTCAATGTCATGTCTTATTTTTCGAATCACAGCGTGTGTCTATCCGTCATATGGTGTCATGCTTGTACGACTGCAGTCTTCATATGTAAATATTGTAGGCTTTCTTACATTCGTGTACCATATGTATGTATGTATATGTGTATGTGTGTATGTATGTATGTATGTATGTATGTATGTATGTATGTATGTATGTATGTATGTATGTATGTGTGAATGTGTATGTATGTGTGTGTATGTATGTATGTATGTATGTATGTATGTATGTATGTATGTATGTATGTCTGTATGTCTGTATGTCTGTATGTATGTATGTATGAATGTATCCTTCAGTAATAATATACTGCATCCCACATAGGAGTATGGTCATCGTATGTCATACAGTTGGTCAGAGGATCAGGAGCCTTCAGTAATGATAGAAATGATGGCGCACGTTTATGTACGCACAGAAAATGCACAAATGTCCATTTGCAGCTAACAACTTAATTTTCTCAATACATTTACGCAATATAATTTGTCAACGCCTGAAATGTACAATTTGTTTAAGAGTGTTTAGGAAGTGGCTTTTTAGATGATGTATCGACTGTGATGTTACACGATGTCACATTTCAGCATCAGCCTCACAGGAGTGTCACTGTACAAGCGGATGTGACGGCAACTTCCGGTGCAATGGCGGCTGTCTCCAGGGCTGGTCAGGCCCCACGTGTCAGATCCGTGAGTAGAACACCATGTCTACAGGTGGATTCCGTACCTGCCATGTATAAGTCACATGATGATTGACAACACTGCCACAGTAACATTATAAAATATTCCCCATAGAGTTCCAACTTCTTACCAGTTACACCGTCGGCAAATCCACTAATGCAGGATCGGGCTTTCCTCCAACATATTCACTCAATAATGAAGGGAGTAAAATGTCTTCGGATTATGTCTAACTTTGTAAAATTGTAGGTGTCGTTAATGCACAGTTTATATTCTCATATTGTAACCATCTTGGAACCATCTTCGGGGTGCAGGTGTCACAATGTGATGCAGAAAGCCATACATATCATCACATCCCCTGCAATACAGTGCGTGATTGTGGCAGACATCAGTTCGTTTTGAAGTGATGCGGAGCTTATGTGTTTACCATGTTGGTAGAACCTTCGTACAAGTCAGGGTGCATACAAATATAGGATCATAATCGGGGTGAATCTGGGATTCGAACCCGGGATAAGAAGGTACAGGCATGCCAAAGGTCACAACTCTTGGAATTGCGGGGTCCACGACTGGGACATTTTGTGCAAACAGATTCTAGTATATTGCGTTCTACATAGGAATACCTCACTCCTATAATAATATTCTACATCCTTCATAGGACTAAGGTCATTGTATGTCATATAGTAGGTTAGCGGATCAGCCTCCAGTAATAACATACTGCATCCCACACAGGAATACGCTCATTGTGTGCCATATGGTCGGTATGCGGATCAGAGGCCTCCAGTAATAACATACTGCATCCCACACAGGAATACGTTTATTGTGTGTCATGTGGTCGGTATGCGGATCAGAGGCCTCCAGTAATAATATACTGCATCCCACACAGGAATACGTTTATTGTGTGTCATGTGGTCGGTATGCGGATCAGAGGCCTCCAGTAATAATATACTGCATCCCACACAGGAATACGTTTATTGTGTGTCATGTGGTCGGTATGCGGATCAGAGGCCTCAAGTAATAATATACTGCATCCCACACAGGAATACGTTTATTGTGTGTCATGTGGTCGGATTTGCGGATCAGAGGCCTTCATTAATGATATATTGCATCCCACACAGGAATACGTTTATTGTGTGTCATGTGGTCGGTATGCGGATCAGAGGCCTTTATTAATGATATACTGCATCCCACACATGAATACGTTTATTGTGTATCATGTGGTCGGTATGCGGATCAGAGGCCTCCAGTAATAATATACTGCATCCCACACAGGAATACGTTTTTTGTGTGTCATGTGGTCGGTATGCGGATCAGAGGCCTCCAGTAATAATATACTGCATCCCACACAGGAATACGTTTATTGTGTGTCATGTGGTCGGTATGCGGATCAGGGGCCTTCAGTAATAATATACTGCATTCTACATAGGAATAACCTCATGGTGTGCCATATACATGTAGTCGGTTCACGGATCAGCCTCCAGTAGTAACATACTGCATCCTACATAGGAATACGCTCATTAGGTGTCATATAGACGGTACGCGGATCAGAAGGCTTCAGTAATAACATTCTGCATTCCACAAAGGAATACGCTCATTGTGTGCCATATAGTCGGTCAGCGGATCAGGGGTCTTCAGTCATAATATACTGCATCCCACACAGGAATGCGCTTATTGTGTGTCATATAATCGGTACGCGGATCAGAGGCCTTCACTAGTAATATATTGTTTTCTACAAAGGAATACGGTCATTTTGTGCCATATAATCGGTCAGCGGATCAGAGGCCCTCAGTAATAATATACTGCATCCCACATAGGAATACTGTCACTTTATGCCATATGGTAGGTCAGCGGATCAGAGGCCCTCAGTAATAATATACTGCATCCCACACTGGAATACTGTCACTTTATGCCATATAGTTGGTCAGCGGATCAGAGGCCCTCAGTAATAATATACTGCATCCCACATAGGAATACTGTCACTTTATGCCATATGGTAGGTCAGCGGATCAGAGGCCCTCAGTAATAATATACTGCATCCCACATAGGAATACGCTTATTGTGTGCCATATAGTAGGTCAGCGGATCAGAGGCCCTCAGTAATAATATACTGCATCCCACATAGGAATACTGTCACTTTATGCCATATGGTAGGTCAGCGGATCAGAGGCCCTCAGTAATAATATACTGCATCCCACACTGGAATACTGTCACTTTATGCCATATAGTTGGTCAGCGGATCAGAGGCCCTCAGTAATAATATACTGCATCCCACATAGGAATACTGTCACTTTATGCCATATGGTAGGTCAGCGGATCAGAGGCCCTCAGTAATAATATACTGCATCCCACATAGGAATACGCTTATTGTGTGCCATATAGTAGGTCAGCGGATCAGAGGCCCTCAGTAATAATATACTGCATCCCACATAGGAATACTGTCACTTTATGCCATATGGTAGGTCAGCGGATCAGAGGCCCTCAGTAATAATATACTGCATCCCACATAGGAATACTGTCACTTTATGCCATATGGTAGGTCAGCGGATCAGAGGCCCTCAGTAATTATATACTGCATCCCACACAGGAATACGCTTATTGTGTGCCATATAGTAGGTCAGCGGATCAGGAGCTTTCAGTAATAACATACTCATCCCACATAGGAATACTGTCACTTTATGCCATATGGTAGGTCAGCAGATTGGGGGCTTTCAGTAATAATACAGTCAACTCCCTGGGGAACCTACGACGACAGTTGCCGATGCCATATATTGAGACTGGTCATATCCCCTGTTTCCGCACGTTTGTGTACGCACAGAAAATACAGAAATGCCAACACAGGAATACGCTCATTGTGTGCCATATAGTCGGTCAGCGGATCAGGGGTCTCAGTAATAGATTAGAGTATCCCTGTCATATAGGAATGGTCATGTAGCACGTGTGACCAATGCAACATCGCCGACCAGCATGAACATTCACAGATTATCAAAACGCAAGTGAAAAAACATTAGGCAGACAAGTTACCATGTGGACTAAACATTCTAGGACTGATCAGTTGATTTAATTAAGAAATGACATTTCAAATGTGCACAGACAGTATCCAAGTATATAACATTTCATAGACAAAACGTTTCCGTGTATATAATATTTCATACATAAAAAGGGATGTAGACGTGTTTTAATGTGTATGTTCCTATTTTCCGGTGCGCGGAATTGTACGGATTACACTTTGGATATTTGATACATGATTTCATGAGCCGAAATGTGATAACCGTCATTTTAGTCATGACTAATGTGACTGAACAGCATGCTCGTCACTTCTGTCATGTGCCACTATATGCAACTTCAAGGCCAGAGTATAACCATCTGAGTTATCTGCCTTAGCAGATTCTATTGGGGTTGAAAGACAAAATAGCAGTGAACATTATATGAATAGATCGCTGAGAATCATCGTTAACCCTTCAGTCATTAAGAGGTGTCAAAGTGAGAGAATTAAATTTATGTACTTTTAAAGTTATTTGTTGATGACGTGCATTGCATAGTGTATCTCTAAAATAATGATCAATCTGCTAAATGCGTTATACTGAATGGGTTAGTTTCTTCTAAAAGTCGTTTCTCGCAACACTACAGAATAGATATAATGTATCTATACATATACTGTTGCAACTCGGCCTACACACATATATAGTTAGGCACCGTTCGTTACAGACATTATTTCGATGATAAAATTTAAGAATGACATTATATAATGAATTAAAGAGGTTATCTAGCTCATGTGGTTTGGGATAAACATATAAAAATTACATTAAATAATAAAGAGGTTATTACTCTTAATATGTATTTTGGGATGGTATATATCCTGTTTCATCCAAGGCATGGTTAAAGCATTCGCTCGTTAGCCGAAGACCCGGGTTCGATTCCCGACATGGGTACAATGTGTGAAGCCGATTTCTGGTGTCCCCCGTCGTGATATGGCTGGAATATTGCTAAGGGCGGCGTAAAACAAACAAAACTCACTCACTCACTCAAGTTTATGTAGACGCCTTTGTTTTCTATAAATAATTTTGTGTATTACGTCTTCCAAGCTAATACAGGGAAGTGAGCTACAACCTCTGAATGCCATACCCTTCTGTGATAAACTGTTCTCGGTTGCGCAGTCTTAGTGCCATTACATAATAGTGACTGATTGTATGTCCTTGGCTCAAAATATGCTGATATGCATTACTACATAAAGTATACTGTAGATGTGATAAACTGTTCTCGGTTGCGCAGTCTTAGTGCCATTACATAATAGTGACTGATTGTATGCCCTTGGCTCCAAATATGCTGATATACATTACTACATAAAGTATACTGTAGATATGGTACATGACTCAACCAATTACACTTTCTTTGCAATACTCCCCTTGAAATGTGAACATTGAATTGAATACCCACTTTTGATTTTTTGGTATTTTAAATAAATATATAAGTATTATCATTTGGATCAACAATAATTAATGGAAACATCCTTAATTTAATGAGTAATAGTGTAGTGATGGCGTTATTCTACATATACTTTCACAAAATTGTCTATAGTATGTATTTTCTCTTCGCTTCATCTTATATATCCCGGTCGTATTGAATATATTCTGCTACGCTTGCCTTAAATCAGTCAGGATTTAATATCCAGCAGAGATTTTTCTCTGGTAAAAAACAGGTTTGGTGTATATTTGTCAAATAGCGTGATTGTTGTTTGATTTCACACCCCATTTAAAGAAAATATTAAGCCAAGGTAACCAAACTGAGAATCATGTACTTGATATTCGGAAAAACAATCCTTTTCAGCTCAAACTGAAATTCGGATAATAAAGCTACTTATATGTTTTGGCTATATTTACTGCTAGACCCAATTCATCACAAACCAATGAGAATGAACGTCCTAAATGATTCCATAATGACAAAAGGTTAAGTTTCAGGCATAATTTGCTTGACTGTGTGAACGAATTTTGCAAACGCACATTTCCTCCTTATATATG